ATCATTGCCAATCAGCTTCTAACTTCAGCTTGTTCAAATTACATTTGGCAATAAAACCTGGAAGCTGATTGGTTTCTATGCAGAGCTGGACTAGATTTTGCATTCTCCAGTTTCAGTACATAACCCCATATATACATTGAGTTTAGTGTTGCATGGGCTTCCTACATGCAGGGCTGGTGCTGCCCCTTGGCGAACTAGGCAGCCGCCTAGAGCAGACTGCCTGCTATGCCCCCCAGATTTTTGTTGTGCTCTCCCCCAGGCCTGTCTTTCCATGGATGTTGTGCTGCATGCTAAAGGGGAGGGGAGAGGGGTTCTGGGTAAGGTGGGAGGATGTTATGCTCAGAAGGGTCATTTGGAGGGGTTTTAGCTAGAGGAAGGATTTGGGGGAATTTGTCCTAGGTGGGGGGATTGAAGGAAGTGTATTGGAGCTGGGAGGGGAGATTGAGTGGATTTGTGTTAAGAAGAGGGATTTGGAGGGGATTTGTGATAGGGGGGATTGTGGGGAATTTGTACTAAGAGGGGGGATTTGTATTAGGAGAGGGTATTGGAGAGGACTTGTGCTAGAGTGAGGATTGGGGGGGGGGGGGTTGTACTAGGAGGGGGGATTTGGGGTAACTTTTCCTAGGTGGGGGGATTGAAGGAAGAGGATTGGTGCTAGGAGGGGGGATTGGGAGGATTTCTGTTAAGAGAGGGGATTGGGGGAAGGGGAGAATTTGTGTTAGGAGGAAGGATTTGGGGGAATTTGTACTATGGTAGGGGTTAGAGGGCATTTGTACTAGAAGAGGGAATTTAGGGGAGAATTTGTGCTAGGGTAGGGGGATGGGGGGGATTTGTGTTAGGAGGGGGATTTGGGGGAGAGGATTTGTGCTAGGGTTGAAAATTTGAGGGGGGAAGAGAAGAAAGACGCTATCAGGTGTCATGGACACCGACCAAAACTGCTGCCACTTTTTAAAAACAGCACTCTGCACAGGGCTCCGCCCACACAGCTGCGTCATTTTTTCACAGATTCCTGTGAATGAATAAACTATACATGCCATCTTCCACCATGGCAGACGGATTTGTAGTTTCAGTGGCCTGCGGAATGACGTGCCTTCTCTTAGTCCACTGGCATGTCCTCTGGCTTTCAAATACAAAGCCCATACAGAGGTACAGGCTGAGAGCCAGAGGACATGTCTGCAGGAGCCTACCTTGCAGTAGATCACGAATGCAATGCTTTCCAGGTTCCTGCAGGAAAAAATAATGAATACATATTTTTTCTGTAAATGTATTTTTTTTTTTGTGTAAAGGTGAACTTAGCCTTTAAATATGGAGATTTTGGCAAAATGCACTGGATCGAAAGTAACGAATAAATAAAGGTGGGATTGTTAGTATTTTTTTTAAGAGCACAATAGACTTTAAATGGCTCCTGAGGATTATGAAAGCCCTCTTCATTTATACTGAACCTGTTTTTGTATAAAAAACACAGTCCCTTAACAGACTCAATAAAAATATATGAAAACATGTTGAAAAAACACATTTCAGGTTCTAACAATAATGCATTAACAACTAAAAAAATTGGTTATTAACTTTGCCCAAAACTTCCTTAACCAGAAATATAAAAGTGTATACGACAGTAAAGAGCACTGACCGGTTGTATATAATGTCAGAATAAAGGAAGGGTTATGGCCCCTGTAAGTTTTTTTTTTTTTGCCATTTGAGTCCCATTGGGGAAATTTCCCTACACAATTTAAGGAATCCCTTGGGGCCCCCCAGGTCACCAGAATTGGAGTCCCCATTGGAAGATTTCCCCTCTATTACCTTTGTGGGGACAACTCAAAATGTGGGATTTTCTTTTACTTTTAATGATGACAGTAAACAGGACAACTAGAAAGGGTGAATTTGCCTAACGGGCAACGACAGCAATTAAATATGGTAGGTGTTCTAATCCATATCCAAAACTAAAAAAAGTTTGCATTTAGATATACACTGCTCAAAAAAATTAAAGGAACAGAGTATAGCTTCAAGTCAATTAAACTCCTGGGATATTAAACAGGTCAGTTAAGTAGCAGAGGGGGGTTGTTAATCAGTTTCAGCTGCTTTGGTGTTAATGGTGTTAATGATTTATCAACAGGTGCACTAGATGGGAAACAATGAGACAATCCCCAAAACAGGAATGGTTTTACAGGTGGAGGCAACTGACATTTTTTACCCTACTCATCTTTTCTGACTGTTTTTCACTAGTTTTGCATTTGGCTAGGGTCAGTGTCACTACTGGTAGCATGAGGTGATACCTGGACCCTACAGAGGTTGCACAGGCAGTCCAACTCCTCCAGGATCAATACGTGCCATTGCCAGAAGGTTTGCTGTGTCTCCCAGCACAGTCTCAAGAACATGAAGGAGATTCCAAGAGACAGGCAGTTACTCCAGGAGAGCTGAAGAGGGCTGTAGAAGGTCCTTAACCCATCAGCAAGACCAGTTATCTGCACCTTTGTGCAAGGAGGAATAGGATGAGCACTGCCAGAGCCCTAAAAAATTACCTCCAGTGCAACTAGTGTGAATGTCTCTGACCAAACAATCAGAACAGACTTCATGAGGGTGGCCTGAGGGCCCAATGTCCTCTATTGGGCCCTGTGCTCACTTCCCGGCACCAGAGAGCTCAATTGGCATTTACCATTGAACACCAAAATTGGCAGGTCTGCCACTGGCGCCCAGTGCTTTTCACAGATGGGAGCAGGTTCACCCTGAGCACATGTGACAGACGTGAAAGGGTCTGGCGAAGCAGTGGAGACCGTTATGCTGCCTGTAACATCGTTCAGCATGACCATTTTGGTGGTGGGTCAGTGATGGTCTGGGGAGGCATGTCCATGGAGGGATGCACAGACCTCTACAGGCTAGATAATGGCACCCTGACTGCCATTAGGTATTGGGATGAAATCCTTGGACCAATTGTCAGACCCTACGCTGGTGCAGTAGGTCCTGGGTTCCTCCTGGTGCACGACAATGCCTGGCTTCATGTGGCAAGAATATGCAGGCAGTTCCTTTAGGATGAAGAAATTGATACCATTTAATGACCCCTACACTCACTTGACCTAAATCCAATAGAACACCTCTGGGATATCATGTTTCGGTCCATCTGACACCACCAGGTCTCACCTCAGACTGTCCAGGAGCTCAGTGATGTTCAGATCTTGGAGATAATACTCCAGGACACCATCTATCGTCTTATTGGGAGCATGCCCCGATGGTGTCAGGCATGCATACAAGCACATGGGGGTCATGCAAACTACTGAGTACCATTTTCAGTTGTTGCAATGAAGACTAGCCTGCTGCATCATTTTTTTTTATTTGATTTTCGAAGTGTCTTTGAATTCAGTCCTCTGTAGGTTGATAATTTTCATTTCTATCAAACATTGGGGCATCTGTACGTTCCTAACACATTACCCCATCCATATCAGAATAGATATCCAGCATTATATTTTTCCCCATTGAGATCTGATGTGTTTTCACATCAATTTCTTTGAGCAGTGTACTTTCAGTTAAAATCCAGTGTAAAGTGTATCTTAAGCCAAAACGTTTTTTTTTTTTTCATTTTTGATAGAGTCATGGGTGCCTAGTTCCAGGACTCATGATTATTGGTGCATATGTTTCTGCTAGGGAGATTTGTCCTCTGTTTTATCCCCTTGATTACCGTTACAGGGATCGTAAACGAAGATAATCCAAAATGTTCCCTTGGAAGGATTTCCTCTTACAGTACTTCCTATTGTGGTTACAGGTCAGGAAGTGAAATAAAAATGTTCCTGATGGAACACAGATGTAAAAAAAAACCTGATTTTGTTCACGCAGGGATTGAACTAATGTAGGTTCACATTGGCTGATTTGTTATCCACAATGCAACTGTGATGGCATTATCTGCCTTCAGACAAAACAATCTGGGTTGGCTTCTTCTGCATTAAAGAGAATCTGTCACTGTGGCCATTCAATCCTTCCATTAACCTATACTCACTTTCACCATCATTTAGATTTTGTGCGTAATATACTAGCAGAGGAGAGATCCAAAGCTTACCCAGTTGAAGACGAAGCCTTTTCTTGCACTTTTTTTTTAAATGTAACAATCAGTATTTTTTGCTAGAAACCCCCCCCCCCCCCAGACATTATATATTTTTAAAAGCAGAGAATGCAGAGAATAAATTGGTGGGTGTTGCATTTTTTTTGGGGATGGAAATACACTTTAAATTTTAATGCAAAAAAACACAATACATAAACCAATTTTTGATAAAATATATTACACCAAGTAAATAGATATCAAAAATATTTTAAAAAAATGTGCATCCCTGTGCAACAGCGGCAAACAACGTTAATTCTGATATCCATAGGCTATGCTTTAAAAGCTTTTACAAGTCATCACTTTAGATTTACAAAGGAAGTCTGGTGCTAGAATTACTGCCCATAATCTGACATTCAAGGTGATAAATGTGTGGGACAATCGCTGCTTGTGTGCATGCGGGACTGATGTGTGCATTCATCTTTGCATACGAGCACAAGGTGACTGTCGCTTTAAATTCTTTTTGTGATCACTTTTATTACTGTCACAGGGAATGTAAACATCCCTTGTGAGATCAATAGGCATGTGACAGGTACTCTTTATGGAGAGATCTGGGAGTCAGTAAGATTTTTTTTTTTATTTAAATTTGCAAGATTGGTGTGATGACCATTGGCTCTAAAAAACGGTACTGGGATAATGCCTACAGCTGTGGTCCCGGTATAACCACTTGAGGTCCAGCAACGTACGAGTATGTTGCTGGTCGTCAAGTAGTTACTATAAGTGGGTAAAGGGTGCCCTTTTAAGGGAATCAGTCCCTAAATGGTAAATACCTCTTTAACCACCTTCCGCCCGCCCTATAGTACAATGACGGGCGCAAGGTGGTTCTCTCGTTCTGATAGGACATCATATGACGTCCTACCATTCTCACTGTGCATGCGCTGCTCAGGGAGCGCGCAGTGCGGTGATCGCCAGTGCGCTGTGTCCCTCGGACACAGCGGATAGCGGAAAGAGCCGAAGATTTCGGCTCGGTCATGTGATCAGCTGTGTCCAATCACAGCTGATCACATGTAAACATGGAAATGCCGGTTATCGGCATTTCTCTCCTCTCGAGCTGTCACGCTGACAGCTCGAGAGGAGAGGAGAGCCGGTACTCGGCTTTCCGCGGAGAGGACATGTACACTGATCATCAGGGCACTGATGATCAGTGTGCCCTGATGATCAGTGTGGCCCCAGAAGTGCCACCTGTCAGTGCTCATCAGTGCCACGTGCCAGTGCCCATCAGTGCCACATATCAGTGCATACCAGTGCACATCAATACTACATATCAGTGCCCATCTGAGCTGCCTTTCAATGTCACCCATCAGTACCAGTCAGTGCCACCTATCAATGCCAATCAGTGCCACCTATCAGTGCCACCTAGCAGTGTCAGTCAGTATCGCCTATCAGTGCGCGTCAGTGCCAGTCAGTGCCGCCTATCAGTGCCGCCTAACAGTGCCAGTCAGTGCCGCCTATCATTGCCAGTCAGTGCTGCCTATCAGTGCCACCTATCAGTGTCATGTATCAGTGTCATGTATCAGTGGCATGTATCAGTGCTGCCTTTCAGTGCCCATCAGTGATGCCTGTCAATGCCCATCAGTGCAACCTACCAGTGCCTCCTCATCAGTGCCCATCAGTGCCACCTATCAGTGTCCATCAGTGCAGCCTATCAGTGCCCATCACTGTAGCTTCATTAGCGCACATCAGTGAAGGATAAAAATCACTTATTTACAAAATTGTATAACAAAAACTAAGAAAAAAAGTTTTGTTTTTTTTTTCAAAATTTTCAGTGGTTTTTGGTTTAAGAAAAAATAAAAATCTAAAAGGTGAATAAATACCACCAAAATAAAGCTCTATCTGTCTAAAAAAATAAAAAAATAAAAATGTCATATGGATACAGTGTTGCATGACCGCGCAATTGTCATTCAAAATGTGACAGCGCTGAAAATTGGCCTGGGCAGGAAGGGGGTATAAGTGCCCTGTAGGCTAGTGGTTAAACACCTTGTACTCATTGGCACATGGATTTGTGATCCCCATTTTAGAAAGAGTATGACAATGTACTTTCACCTGTGTGCATTCAAAAAAATGACATACCATCCCTTTAGCCATGATATCAGAGGTCTGTTTTCCCCTAAGGAAAAAATAACAATAAAACTGCAAAGCAACATTTTCGGACTATAAATCTGCATGTTCTTGCAGCCAAACAGAAAAGGAAAAATAATGGAGAAATCCATTTATACACTCTATAGAGCAGAAGAAAAGACCTAGAGAGCTAAAAACTTCAGTTAATATCTGAAAATCCCACTGGCTTTTTGGAAGATTAAAGTCTTGAGCTAAGGGGATAAAGTTAATCTTAAATGTAAGGCAAGTCATTTTTCTTGTAGAGATTTTTTTCAGTAACAATAAATACACTTCCTCTCCGGTGGCTTTCAAAACTGACTCCAAGGACAAATGTTATTCTTACTGGCCATTTTGAGGGCTAAAATGTTGTTGAGCTGCAATCAGTCATGTACTGAGCAGAGAGTAATCGGAGAAGTTCGAGAAGCTTTGTGCAAGAAATTCTTTTAAAGGTAATGAAATGGGTCTGTACTTTCTCAATCAGCTGACCTTGAGCATCAGCCCTATATCCACTAAGTCCCCTATTATGATGTATTCCTTAGCTAGAAAGATAGCACAACAGGGCCTTTGTGATGCAAAATCTGAACGGGAACCCCTTTTAGTTTATTCAAACCACATAGGTTGCTTTTTAGACCTAGCTAGTAGAGATGAGCAAATCGAACTTGGCGAAGTGGAATTCGTTTCGAATATTAGGAAAAATTAGATTCGCACCGAATCCGAATTTTAGCAAACTTCGGATGCACGGATCGAATTTTCCCCGATCAGCCGGCAAAAAAGTGTCACTGCAGAGAGCTCCGCTATTTCTGACAGTTCTCTGACAGTTCCTTCACATTTACAGCAGTTGAAACATTGTATCTATTTGTTTCCATTTAGGATACAGATGTTTTTATTCGGAAACAAATAGATACAATGTTTCAACCGCTGTAAATGTGAAGGAACTGTCAGAGAACTGTCAGAAATAGCGGAGCTCTCTGCAGATACACTTTTTGCTGTACTGGAATTCTTCTTCTTTTTCATTCTTCTTCTTCTTTTCATTCTTCTTCTTCTACTTCTTCTTCTTTTCATTCTTCTTCTTCTTCTTTTCATTCTTCTTCTTCTTCTTTTCATTCTTCTTTTCATTCTTCTTCATTCTTCTTTTCATTCTTCTTCTTCTTCTTTTCATTCTTCTTTTCATTCTTCTTCTTCTTCTTTTCATTCTTCTTCTTCTTCTTTTCATTCTTCTTTTCATTCTTCTTTTCATTCTTCTTCTCATTCTTCTTTTCATTCTTCTTCTCATTCTTCTTTTCATTTTTCTTTTCATTCTTCTCATTCTTCTTTTCATTCTTCTTTTCATTCTTCTTTTCATTCTTCTTCTTTTCATTCTTCTTCTCATTCTTCTTTTCATTCTTCTTCTTCTTCTTCTTTTCATTCTCTTCTTCTTCTTTTCATTCTTTCTTTTCATTCTTCTTCTTCTTCTTTTCATTCTTCTTTTTCATTCTTCTTCTTCTTCTTTTCATTCTTCTTTTCATTCTTCTTCTTTTCATTCTTCTTTTCATTCTTCTCATTCTTCTTTTCATTCTTCTTTTCATCTTCTCTTCTTCTTTTCATTCTTCTTCTTCTTCTTTTCATTCTTCTTCTTTCATTCTTTTTCTTCTTCTTTTCATTCTTCTTTTCATTCTTCTTTTCATTCTTCTTTTCATTCTTCTTCTCATTCTTCTTTTCATTCTTCTTTTCATTCTTCTTCTTCTTTCATTCTTTTCTTTTCATTCTTCTTCTTCTTCTTTTCATTCTTCTTCTTCTTCTTTTCATTCTTCTTTTCATTCTTCTTCTTCTTCTTTTCATTCTTCTGCTTCTTCTTTTCATTCTTCTTTTTCATTCTTCTTCTTCTTCTTTCATTCTTCTTCTTCTTCTTCTTCATTCATTCTTCTTTTTCATTCTCTTCTTCTTCTTTTCATTCTTCTTCTTCTTCTTTTCATTCTTCTTTTTCATTCTTCTCATTCTTCTTTTCATTCTTCTTTCATTCTTCTTTTCATTCTTTTTCTTTTCATTCTTCTTCTTCTTTTCATTCTTCTTCTTTCATTCTTCTTCTTCTTCTTCTTTTCATTCTTCTTCTTCTTCTTTTCATTCTTCTTTTCTTTCATTCTTCTTCTTCTTTTCATTCTTCTGCTTCTTCTTTTCATTCTTCTTTTCATTCTTCTTCTTCTTCTTTTCATTCTTCTTCTTTTCATTCTTCTTTTCTTCTTCTTTCTTCTTTTCATTCTTCTTCTCATTCTTCTTTTCATTCTTCTTCTTCTTCTTTTCATTCTTCTTCTTCTTCTTTTCATTCTTCTTCTTTTCATTCTTCTTTTCATTCTTCTTCTTCTTCTTTTCATTCTTCTTCTCATTCTTCTTCTCATTCTTCTTTTCATTCTTCTTTTCATTCTTCTTTCTTCTTCTTTTCATTCTTCTTGTCATTCTTCTTTTCATTCTTCTTCTCATTCTTCTTTTCATTCTTCTTCTTTTCATTTTTCTTTTCATTCTTCTTTTCATTCTTCTTTTCATTCTTCTTTTCATTCTTCTTTTCATTCTTCTTTTCATTCTTCTTCTTCTTCTTCTTCTTTTCATTCTCTTCTTCTTCTTTTCATTCTTCTTTTCATTCTTCTTCTTCATTCTTTTCATTCTTCATTTTCTTCTCTTCTTCTTCTTTTCATTCTTCTTCATTCTTCTTTTCATTCTTCTTTTCATTCTTCATTCTTCTTTTCATTCTTCTTTTCATTCTTCTTCTCATTCTTCTTTTCATTCTTCTTTCTCTTCTTTTCATTCTTCTTCTCTTCATTCTTCTGCTTCTTCTTTTCATTCTTCTTTTCATTCTTTTTTCTTCTTCTTTTCATTCTTCTTTTCATTCTTCTTTTCATTCTTCTTCTCATTCTTCTTTTCATTCTTCTTCTTTTCATTCTTCTTCTTCTTCTTTTCATTCTTCTTCTTCTTCTTCTTTTCATTCTTCTTTTCATTCTTCTTCTTTTCTTTTTCTTCTTCTTCTTCTTCTTTTCATTCTTCTTCTTCTTCTTCTTTTCATTCTTCTTGTCATTCTTCTTTTCATTCTTCTTCTCATTCTTCTTTTCATTCTTCTTCTCATTCTTCTTTTCATTCTTCTTTTCATTCTTCTCATTCTTCTTTTCATTCTTCTTTTCATTCTTCTTCTTCTTCTTTTCCTTCTTCTTTCTTTTCATTTTCATTCTTCTTCTTCTTCTTTTCATTCCTCTTCTTCTTCTTTTCATTCTTCTTCTTCTTCTTTTCATTCTTCTTTTCATTCTTCTTCTTCTTCTTTTCATTCTTCTTCTTCTTCTTTTCATTCTTCTTTTCATTCTTCTCATTCATTCTTTTCATTCTTTCTTTTCATTCTTCTTTTCATTTCTTCTTTTCATTCTTCTTCTTCTTCTTTTCATTCTTCTTCTTCTTCTTTTCATTCTTCTTTTCATTCTTCTTCTTTTCATTCTTCTTCTTCTTCTTCTTTTCATTCTTCTTTTCATTCTTCTCATTTTTCTTTTCATTCTTCTTTTCATTCTTCTTCTCATTCTTCTTTTCATTCTTCTTCTTCTTTTCATTCTTCTTCTCTTCTTCTTCTTTTCTTTTCATTCTTTCTTCTTCTTTTCATTCTTCTTCTCATTCTTCTTCTTCTTCTTCTTCTTCTTCTTCTTCGTCGTGCCCCGTGACTGCCCAAATGAGTGAAGTGTGCGGTGATTCTAAGATTGACGGCACTCATCTGCATGTCATACTGACTGACAGTATTATTTCTCTTCCCCAGCAGACTCCAAGGGCATTTAAATTAAAGGTACAGTGTTCTGCACTAATATAAAGGCTCTCTGAAGCCTAGAAACCCTTTTAATAAGTTAAATTTGCAGCGAATAAATTCGCATTGAATCAAATTTTCTCCCGCAAATTCGGCGAATCAGCCGAATCGAATTTTTGAATAATTCGCTCATCTCTACTAGCTAGCTAAAGAATTACATTTTACAGAATGTATCCTTTTTCTCCTTTGTATGTCCTATAGCTAACAACATACTGTATATATTATTCACTAAACTTGCTCAAAAATGACTTTTGAAAATTATATTAACATGTTGAAGCTTATATGTGATTTTAGCGATTGAGTTTGCTGTACATATACTTCAAGCAGGGGTACCCAACCTGGGGTGCGAGATGAAATTTCAGGGGTGAAAGTGAAAAAGTGTCTTGTGTCAAGTGTCATCACCCAATCAGCTGTCAGCTTGCCGTGAGCAGAGGTAGTAGGTGCTTGTGTTGCATAGATAGTAGTGTCATTGTGTATTTATTCAAA